GGGAAAGAGGGCCCAGGGCTTCCTACTCTGTGGTCTTGCTGATGTCACTCCTCAGTAATAAAATTCTGATATTGAAATAATTAATCCTGAGAGCACTTATTCAATTACAGTTCAGTAAAAGTCAGTTACGTTCTGCCTCTCAATTTCCTCCCCTTTTTTCACTCATTTACAATAATCAACTAGTGGCATCAGATTCCTCCTTATCTGCGTTCCCTGGCAGAACAGAGTTTCAGAAGTCAGTTTAACACACGTGAGAAATCTGCCCTCCAAAGAAATTCTTGGAATGCAGATTAGCTTGAGGTATAGCACATACTTGAAGATTTATTAAAAATATTTCAGCTCTTAGTTCATGTGAAACAGCATTTACATCCTCACCCACCGCCTTCTTCGTACTACTTGAATACACATTACACTCTTGCTCCAATGTCTTTCAGGATTCCCCCTAGAGATTTACATACCTAAAGAATTCTAAGTGTTATGTAAGTGAAATGAATGGGAAAAAGGTGCAGGGGAATTAGCCACGAGGATGTAAAGTGCAGCAGAGGGAATATATAGTCAATAATATTGTAATAACCACGTATGGTGTCAGGTGGGTACTAGACTTACGGGGTTATATAATGTCTAACCACTATACCGTACACCTGAAACTAATGTACTATTGAATGTCAACTGTAATAGAAAAATAAAAATAATTTTAAAAAATTCCTTCTCGAGAAAAATTAAATAATTCGATCAGAGAAAATAGGCTATTGTAAGGCCACTTTTGAAGGTGTAATTCATGGCTCATATCTAGTTATTGGACTAAATGTTTGTTGCAGTATTTCTAAAATGCAGCTAAGAGGCGATACACAGAGAGGGAAGAAACAGGTCAGGAACAAACCCAATTGAGACCCTTGACCAAGTAGGGCCACATTATTAATGCCCACCGTTTGCTTGACTCACCAATTTCTGTGGAGTCATCTCTGACCAAAATGTGAAACTCTACTATATGTCTGTTTCTGAGAAAGCCTTTTCCAAAGGAAGCAACATTTAGTTGGTGTGTATGGGACCACAAGGGCTTTTAAGATGAGCTCCATCCCCATTTCACTCCACAAAGTGAATGTTTCTACCATGGGAGATCACAACTCTACGGTTCAGAAAGCTGCAAAGTAAATGCATTAGTGAGGACCCACTATGTTGGAGAGATTTAGAAGGATGATGTGATGGTCTAAAGCTAATTGTGGGACATTATCCTACTGAAAACATAAATCCTAATAATGAAGAAAGTGTCTTGGCTTGTGTACAGTATAGAGACCCCATGCAAAAAGCCAAAGGTCCGGGAAAGGCAAAAAATTAGTTGGAACTTCTTCAAATCTATGTAAGGTCTGACTTCTTAAGCAAGGCTATGAGACAAGTCAGATAAAAACAGATGGAAAAGGAATTTATACATGACTGGAATGTAAGAATACCAATGATTCTTTACAACAAACAAAAAAGCACTGCATTAACACAAATGATAAAATATTAAGGAATTTTTAGATTACTCCAAATATGGGCTATCTTTTCTTCCTTAGCAGGAAATGGCTTTCCATTGATGGATCCATTCTTCACCAGTTCTCTTTAAGACAAGTGGCAAAATATGTACAAGAAGGCACACTAAATGACCTAATCCAGATCGGACAGTGATCTTGGTCTCATTAGTAACAGTGACTTTTAATGATGCTATAACACGAATTATTCATCATCTTCCTTAAGAGCTCCAATATCTATTTAATATTTATATTGCAGGTACCTACTAAACACAAAAGAAGGACTGATGATGTCTTCCTACCCAATGTGGCAGAAAATGTTCAACTTTCAGCTTTTCAAGTTCAAACAGCTCCATCCAGAATCCCATTTAGACCCAATTGGTAATCATAAATCCTTTTCCAACTTTTATTTCTATAAGCACTTAAATAAATGTGATTCTAAACTCCATTAACCCTTTGATCTAATATTTATTATCAGTGCTGTGAAGGTAGTGTAGAAGGGCTGACATGACTATACCTTGAATGTCCCAGGTGAAGTAGGATGTGGCCTTAGATTGTAAAACGTAAGCATTGGTTTGCATAACTACCATGTGGGCCTCGCCTCTGGCCACCCAGCAGCCTCTCCATCTGGGTTCCAGAAATACTGACTAGATGAAATAGCCAGGAGAGAAGGCATTTCTACTAAGCATTATCTACTAACAAGTGGAAAACTAAAACAGGTTAATCCAAATAAACTTCAAAGCACTCATTTCTGTTTGTTTCACTTAATAACATCATTCTCCCCTAACAGGCTCTTTATTCTTCTACAAATGCCAAAACTCTCTTCAGAGTTTTATAAATTTATAATCCACATCTTTTTATTCAGACAAGAAAATCTATCTTGGGTAAAATAATAAATAACTAGATGAATGGAACAGAATAGACCAGAGAAACATATTTACATACATAAATTTATGTGTGTGTGTGTGTATTATATATATATGTAGCTTTTCATATTAAGAAGGTTGAATCTATCTGAAGTAGATTAAATCATCACCTTACACTATACACAATGAGTTTCAAATGGATTAAACATCTATATGCACATACACGTACACAGACATATACACAAATTTATTTCTGAAATATATAAAAAAAACACAAACCAAAAGCCAAAGGATATTGATGACTTTGATATCAAAGCTAAAAATTCAACAGGACAAGATATAGTGCCAGTTACCAATTTACAAACCTCTCAGCTCTAATTTCATCTTTGTCTGCTGCGAAATAATTAATATGGATCCTGTATTTCTTCTCTGCCAACTGGCAAAATGTTAAGCTTTGTCAGTAGAGGGTGCTGAAAAAATCCTGGAGGAGAAAGAAGGGTTTCTCTCCTAGGTTCTGGAGTCTCCTTTGGGCAGGCAGGCTTCTGCAGTGCACATGGCTTCTGCAATGCCCTGATCCAGTGAATTCCTATAATGGTTTTCTGACCTGATTGTTGAAGGGATAACTGGAACTTCCCCTTAAAGACTTGAAAGAAAGCTAGGGCAGTGGGCTCTATCATATCACATCTTAATTCACCACTTCGGCCTACGCAGAAAATAGATGGATCTTGGAAAATGACTAGGAACTACCAAGCCCACATCTTAACCAGGTAGTGATTCCAACTGTAATTGCTCTCCAGATGTGGTATCCTTACTGGGGCAAATTAATATGTCTCAGGCACTTGTTATGCAAATAACAGCTTTTGCTCTACATCAAACTGCAAGGACCACAAGAAGTTGTTTGCTTTACCCTACAAGGCCACTGTATACCTTTAAATTCTTCCCTGAAAGCTTTGTCAATTCTCCTACTCTCATGATCATTATATTCCATAAAATATATTGGTTCACTCCATCAATAATGCTGATATCATGAGCAGAAAATAGTTAAGTACTTAGGTATAAGAACTAGAGGGTGAAAGATAAACCCTACAAAAATTCAGGGCCTTTAGCCTCATGAAAATTCTCTAGGGGTTCAATGGTTGAGAGAACGTTAAAATATGCCCCTTCAAGATGAAAAACAAGTTGCTTCATCTCACTCCATGTATCATGAAAAAAAGCATGATGCTCAATAGGCCTTTTTGGATTTTGAAGGCAACATATACTGTATCTGAGTGTGATGCTTCAACCCACCTAGAAAAGTCATCCATAAGATTACTGATTTTTTGTTAATCCTCACTCAAGGATAGTTTTCCATTGACTTTTAGAGAGTGGGAGGGGGAGAGACAGAGACAAACACTGATGTGAGAAACACATCTATTGGTTTCCTCCCACAGGCACCCCAACCATGGTCAGAGACCAAGCCTGCAACCGAGGTACATGCCCTTGACTGGAATCAAAACCTGGACCCTTTAGTCCTTGGGCTGCCACTCTATCCATTGAGCCAAACCAACCAGGGCAAGATTATCGATTCTGAGTGAGGACCAGAGTTAGAAAAGGCTCCATTGTGATTTTGAGTTTCAATACAATCCACCCTGCCATGTTCCTATGATCCAGCAATACTAAAGATATTAAAAAATGTTGCCGAGACCAGTTTGGCTCAGTGGATGGAGCGTCGGTCTGCGGACTGAGGGGTCCCAGGTTTGATTCCGGTCAAGGGCGTGTGCCTGGGTTGCGGGCACATCCCCAGTGGGAGATGTGCAGGAGGCGCTCGTCGGTGTCTCTCTCTCATCGATGTTTCTGGCTCTCTGTCTCTCTCCCTTCCTCTCTGTAAAAAATCAATAAAATATATCTAAAAAAAAAAAATGTCCTGGCATATAGGAACACTGTACAAAGCCTCTGTCAAAGCACCAGTAAGATAACAAGCTGACCCCTAAGATTCTGAGCAAACCTATGCACTCTTCTGAAGCTAACTACCTCCTTTTGTGCCTTGGTAGACAATGCCTAACCATGGCATACTGGGTGATCATGTGGCCTGAGCTTCCCATAACAACATGGGTGCTGTAGGACCCACCTAATTATAAACTTGAGGATGCACAGATTGCTTTTCACTCCAAAGGCATACAAAGTCATTCCTTCAACTATCATTTCTAAGGCTCTATCTCTCACAGCAGCAATCTATCACCAGTGGAAATGGTATACATTCAACTTAGCTTGCTGGGCAGATCTGAAAGGTACAAGTGGCTTCCATTGAACATATGGCTCAAACTATTTCAACACCAACTCCTGTTGCCTCCTCTCTCTGGACTTGGGTGTTACTAACAATTAGCTAGCCAAGAAAGAAAAAAGAGTCAAGCTTGATTGATGGATAGGTCTGCATTTGTCAGTTCAAAGCATGATTGCATTTCTCATCCCAGCAACCTCAAGGGGTACTGGTTTGGAGGTCTTAGTTCCTAAGAGATTCTTTAACCAGGAGTACAACCATGAGTCTATTGATATAAGATCTCAGTTGAGGCTGCCAGTTGGCTGTCTTGGGATTCTTATGTCACTAAACCAATAGGCAGTAAAAGGCATTACTCTACTGGCTGGAATGGTCAATCCTGAATACACAATGTGAGAAGACATTCAAATGCTGAAAGCAAAAATGTCAACCTAGAATTTTATATACAATAAATACCTTTCAAAAAACTAAGGCAGACACACAAAAACTGAGTTAATCAACAATATCTGTACCATGATAACTAAAAATATTAAAGGTTAGAGGACAATCTTTAGGAAGAAGGTAATACCAGTAGCAAATTAATGGAGAGCACAGGAAATAGTAATTACATGATTGCCAAGTACACAGGACTTTTTATCATCTAAAAAAACTATTTTGAGCCCTAGCTGGCTTGGCTCAGGGGATAGAGGAGCATCAGCCTGCGGACTGAAGGGTCCTAGGTTCGATTCCGGCCAAGGGCACATGCCTGGATTGCAGGCTTGATCCCAAGTAGGGGGCGTGCAGGAGGCAGCTGATCAATGATTCTCTCTCATCATTGATGTTTCTATTTCTCTCTCCTTCTCCCTTCCTCTCTGAAATCAATAAAGAAATATTAAAAAAAATATATTTTGAACCCCATTCTTATCAAAATAATTTGTCTCTAGCAACATTTCAGGGTATCTTCAAGCTTGGCAGTTTTATATTCACCAAACTTAAGCAAATATAAGATTAATATGAAACCAAAAGTTCATACTTTCTATAGCAAAATTATTAAATCCAATCTTCTGGTTTTTAGGTATATAAGGGAGTATTATCTCTTCCAAGTCCAAATTCTGGGATGTAATATAAAATATCTTGGCCAAAACACGGACCAAAAGTACCAAACTTCACGTACTAGCCATGTGGCTTGATACTAGATATTTATTTATTTTTTTTTTTTAAATATATTTTATTGATTTTTTACAGAGAGGAAGGGAGAGAGATAGAGAGTCAGAAACATCAATGAGAGAGAAACATCGATCAGCCGCCTCCTGCACATCCCCCACTGGGGATATGCCCGCAACCCAGGTACATGCCCTCGACCGGAATCGAACCTGGGACCCTTCAGTCTGCAGGCCGACGCTCTATCCACTGAGCCAAACCGGTTTTGGCAGATACTAGATATTTATACAAAGTACTCTAAACAGAAGCCCAATTTTACTCTACATGCAATTTAAACTAAAAGGCAGTTACAAGCTTTTAGTTTTATAACAACAAATGGCAGTTTCATAAATCTGTTACTTGGTAGAGCTAAGGGGATGATGTCTACTGATTTGTGGAAGATCAATTTGCACATCACTCCACAGGCATACAAGGTCATCCCTCCAAGTACCATTGCTAAGGCTCTGTTCTCCACTAATGAATACAGAGTTTAGTTACTACCTGCTGGTCGTGGGGAACAATAGAAATTGAGTAGACACCCATCTTCAAACAAAGTGATAATGTAAATTCACTAGCATTAACTGTCATAATGAAAAAGCAAACACACACTTCAGTTCATTAAAAAGAACAAATTAATTCAATAAACATGTAGATTTATTTTCAATCAGTTTGGTACATGATACAGATTGGTTTTGTAGTTTTTCATGAACTAAAATAGAAATTTCTAAATACAGCAGTGTCTGTCTGTACAACAAATATTTTAAGATAAAATAAGGTATTTTGATAGAACTACATCTGCATGAAATAATCAGATGAAAAATCTGAAAAGGTTTCTATATACCTTCTGGATTAAAAAACCCAAAAATTATTAATGACTCCAGATACTAAACTATTAAAGAAAGGAGGGGAAAAGGCTGTGAGATCTGTTGTAAGAGCTCTTCTTGCAAAATCTAGTTTCAAGTGATATGGTTTTGTTGTTAGAGCAGTATTCAAAATTACCAGAGAGGCTTCATCAGCTACATTTTCACAAAAATTGCTGTATGTGTTGACATTAATGTGTGCCAAGGTATTCATATCTAGGTAAATATCTGTAGCCAACTTTTGCCACTTT